TTTTTTTTTTTTTTTTTTTTTTTTGGGTTCCCCCCCCCCCCAATACGTGTTACGTAACATGAGTACCCATTTCAGATATTTAGGGCACCTTGCCCATATTTATTCCACAAATAAAAATAGAGCATAAACATGTGGACTGATTAGAAATTGGAGATGTATTTAACAAAGAATTTCTTGTTTATCAGAAAGTGGGAATCTCTGGAATTGAACTCCCTTCTACCAGAACAGTATCACCCGCAGGGCTTATCTTGACTTTTACCACTTTTTTTTTAAGGTGCGGTTCAGAAAGTTTGAAAACAGACACATTGACAAATAACATTCTGTAGCTTTCCATTCAAGTCCTGTCAAGTCACAAGATGCTATTTTAAAGTTCTTCAAAAAATAGTAACTCTGCACATAATGGTTTTACCAAGTGACCAGAAATCAAGGTGGCTTACAGAATTCCCAAAGGGGCAACTTTTACAGCAGGGAGACAAAAATCAGAAAGAATTAAGTAGCACTTTTTAAGACTAACAAATCTTACTATAAGGCATAATCTTAAAAGGTGCTCTCAGATTCCTCCTTGTTTTTGACTACCGCTGACTACCGCAGTTTTCCTACAGTGTCAACAATAGGGAGAGAAACTTCAGTGTGCAGGAATCCAGCTATGGCTGAAGAGAATATTAGCCATCATAAACATCGATTTTTGCTCGGGGAGTCCACAATTTACAATGTTTCCCTAAAATACAGCTTTCTCATTTTTTTTAAAAAATTCTGCTTGAATTAAAATTCATTTTAAGCCTGTAGCATCTGTTTGCCTAACTCTTTCTTGGAAAGCTTCCACTAAGTTATGCATGGAAAAAAATCTATATTTACTAAGTTGTCCCAGACTATAACTACCCCCACTGGGCTCTTCCTGCTATTTATTTATTTATTTATTTAATGACATTTTTTATGTCATCTGCTTCATGAGACTGGGTGACTCCCAATGATAGAACATCATAACACTAAGGCCATAAAAACATTCCTGTTGCACTATCTTTCAATGGCCCGGTGAAAGAGGATGGTTTTCACTTCTTTCCAGAACACAGCGAGCAGAGACACGTTTTGACAAAGGAGAAGATGAGAACAGCAAGGGTTCCCTCCATCTCCATCAACATAACCAAGTAGCTTCTCCCTTACTTTGAGGGTCAAAAAGGTAGAAGTAATTTTATTACTCAGCCAAGGGTTACCAAGGGCAAAAAAGGACAGTCTTCAGCAACCAAGTGCTTTTGGTTTGGTAGAAAGAAAGAAACCATTATTTAGAACTGCAGATGCCCCATCTTCCACTGTGGAGCATGGTCCAACTATAACGTGGTAGGCCAAGAATTCAGACATCCTTTGTAATGCACTCTCTTGCTACATTCAGTATTTTTCAAATAATTTCTTCATTGAGTATACTGAAGAACACACCATCTCTTGCCCTTTCCAAAAATTAGAGCTGAGCAACATCAGTTACTTTTCCCCACTCCATCCAAAGTTGGAGATCCATGACTATCCCTTCCAGAAGCCCAACACTGGCGGATTTCTACTAAGCAAGACAATCAGATGGGACTAACAGCAAGTATAGGACCCCTGAATCAAGAACCTCAGAGCCAATTGCTCCACTTGAAGATCTCACAGTACAACCCAAGATCTTGCGGGAAGCTTTTAGCTTGCAAGTCTTAGTAAGGGAGGCCTTTGTCATGGGAAATCCTGATTCCTTATATTCCTGCCTGGCTGATGTTATCTGGCTCAGAAACTAAACATAGCCGGGGCTGGTTAACACTTGATGAAGTTCCAAAGTATTCCAGAGATGAAGTCAAGGAAGACAGCCCTTAAGAACAGAATGGCAAACTGCTTCCCAAGCAAATTAGATGGACAAGTTCATGAAGTCACTGGGAATGAAGCTTGGCTTAGAGACTTGACTTTTTCATTTCTAGATTTTAGTGTGATTTTAAAGATTCTTTTGCAAAGTTCCCTGAAAATTTCACGAAGTTATCAAATAGAATTTAGTGTTTTTAACAATCTCCTTCAAAACCAGAAAGGTGAAAAATGTATTTTAATCTAATATTGATAATGCACAATTTTTTTTTTACAGAATTTGAATTTAAATACAGAATGTGAATGGAGATACTACTTACCTAATAACTTATTGCTGTTACTGAATACTTTATTTTTTCATGCTGAATATGTCATTTTAGATATAGTTGCTCTTACTGTACACACAACTTTGGCTGTTGCTATTTTTTTTAAGATGCAGATTTGACTATTTTAAGCAACTGGTGTAAGATTTCTATGGGAGTAATTCATGCTATTGTTTATGACTGCAGTTAATTCAGCAGGCCAGGCTGTGCAGCACGTTCTGGATCAGGTGACAGAAGCTGGTCAGAAAGGTAAGAAACCCACTTTTTAATAATTTGGGGCAGCATTTACATTGCTATAAACATAGAAGATGGTACATTCCTTCCAATTCAGGGCAGTTTTTCTCCTGTACAGACATCTAACAAGGGAAGTCAGGTTCGATCTTGCTTGTAATAAACTTGTCTTCAGCTAGCCAGTATCAGGGAATGGAAAACTCCCCAAATCCACCATAACTCTGTTCTTGAAGTAGAGTCAGTGTTTTCAAAAATCAAATCACTTTATTATACAGATTTGTATACTATGGTCCTCTTTTGGAGGTTACAACAGGTAGCTGCCACCAGCTGACCTTGGTTGATCTCAGAAAGCTAAGCAGGGTCAGATCGGGTTAATACTTTGATGGGAGACCCACTAGGCACCTCAGCATTATGGGAGAACCTGAGAAGTCAGAGGAACTTTATCGAACAAGGGAATAGCAATCACTTCTGCATTGGTGCCAATAAATTTATAATGGCATGTAGTTACCAGGAGTGAACTTGATTAATGTTTGTTTTAATTTTTATTTCCCTTGGGGGTAGGATCTTACATCAGTCATAAAGAAGCACAATAATGGGAAAGACATTCCATGGCGATCTTGCCAAGTCAGGCCCTGTCAGAACAGATGATGCAATAGTTTAACCCAATATAGTTTCTTTGTTCACAAAGTATTTTTTAAATGATTCTAAAGGTACACTGATATTTATGTTCCGTATTTTGTAAACATCTCATGAAAATAAGCTATATTTTTAACTGGTTATATATTGCAATAGCTTGAAAAGACCTGTGAACAAACCCTATCATGCAGCTGAGTTAATGTGGCTTTGTTTAACACAAGACAGTTATGATTATCTTAATCACAATTGTGTGGAAAGGAGACTCGAGGGGGGAAATTACCTATCATCCATCCATCCATCCACCAGCCAACCAACCAGCCAACCAGGCAGAATGTATTGTTCAGTTTGGATTGATCAGTAGACCAACAAATTGGATTGGTAGTTAGATGGCCTATAAAGAACTTGATGGGTCTGAGATTTTGTTCACAATTTATTTGGAAGGATGGGAAATACAAAAGAGTACGACTTGGAAGAGGAGTTGAAAAAGAACTGATTCCTGAGGAAGGAATTTTTCCAATCTGAGCAAACCCTGCTAGAAAAAGATCTGGAGGCTGGAACTGGTGGCCAAAACAAACAGGAAGCTGTGCCCTGTGAGGCTGTGGTGAAGATTTGAGCAGGAAGCAAAACACAGTGTCGGTGTCCTTAAGCAAAATTTTGGCCAGAAGGAGCTTCAGGTTTTAAATGATCCTAGAAACCGTCAACACCCAGAGGCAATGGAAGATTACTCTGATTATGAATTGGTGGAGTGGAGTCACCATCAGAAAACAGGGCTGAAGCAAAAGCTGTTAAAAGTGTATTAGCTGAAGTTTTTAAAGTATTAATAAAATGTAGTTGATCTTCTTCAAAAGTTCTAACTTACTTGAGAACTAACACTCTTTATAATTAAGTTCTTTAATGGAGGGAACATAATCATTTTGTTCATCTTGTAAGGTTGTCCTATTTATCTGCCATAGAACCAGGCTGAGTTTTATAGAAGACCAGAGTGTTTATGTTAGAGGGAGCAATGAAAAACTTCTAGAGCTGAGGTAGAATTTTCTGACACCAACTTGGGGCTTTAATTAAAAATGATGGGAAGTTCCACAGACTCAAGTTTCTTGTCTGAGGAATATGTAGTAGTAAAAAATAATCTACAACTCTATGGTGAATGCATTATGAAGTAGAAGCTATAGTCCATGAAGTTTTAATGATTTGCAGAAACAGTGTGAAAATCTTTACAGCACCAAGGTACAGTGACAGAAATGAAGATGTCTGAAAAATTCAGCATGGGCAATGAGGCAGTAAGTCAATCTATAGTCAAATTTTTCCCTTATGAAGGAATGTCTGCTAAAGAACTCAACATAATGCTGATTAAAAAGTAGGGAGTCATATTTTATATGAAATCTTTTGACTATTAGACCAAAGCTACTTGTCAGCAGTCCTCTAAAATATTGATGTAACAGGTCATCTCATCTGCCTTTTGAAGAATTTGCCTGATGACTAGGAAGCAGTTAAAATGGAATATGGAGCAACTAAATAGTTTAAAATTGGGAAAGGAGAACACCAATGTTGTATACTTATTTAGCTTATATGCAGAATATATACAGAGAAAGGCTGCACTAGAAGAAATGGAATTAAAAGAATTGTAATTATGGGAGGAACATCAACCATCTCAGATATGATGATATCACGATGCTGACCGGAAGCAAAGATGATGGAAGTAATGGCTAGCTGAGTGTGAAAGAGACTGCAAAAGCCAGTCTCCTGGTCAACATTAAAACTAAGATTGTGTCAACAGGCAATGCCGACTCTAAATTTAAGTGGAGAAGAGGGTGAAGTAGTAAAAGACTTTATCTTTCTAGTTCAAAAATATCAGAAGGATTATGACCGTAGCTGTTAAAAATAAATAGGAGACATGCCTGCTAGTTGGGAGAAATACTGTGAGATTACAGTGCAGGGACACCACCCTGACCACAAAGGCATGTATTGTTAAGGTCAAATTTTTTGCCAGTTGTAATATATGCCTGTGAAATCTTGACTGAATGAAAGAAAAAAATAAATTGTGGGATTATAGAATTGTTCAGAATAACATGCACAAGAAGATCGTTTACTACTAGTAAAAGCAGACCGGTCGCTAAAGGCACCAATAAGGGAGCTAAAACTTAAATATTTTGGACACATATACGAATGTGAGAGTCACTGGAGAAGACCTGGAAAAATGGAAGGCAACTGAGAAAGAGGCTAGTAGAAGACAAGGTGGCCAGGTACCATCACTGATGACACAAGCAAGAGGTTACAAGGATTCAAAGCAGTAGTTAATGACAATCCTGGGAAAAGAAGGTCCATCAGATCAAAGTCCAAAGTGACCAAATGACTGAATAATTCACCCGCTTCTTCTATCAACCCTGCATTGCCAAGTATTACACAACTGAGCTTGGATTACATCAAACTGGAGAAACACCATCTACAGCATGAATCTGAGGAGAAGCCCAGAAGCCAGAGGAAAAGCAACTTCAAATGGAGCATGAAGATCATGAGAAACAGAGGAAAAACGCAGGCAGATGGTGGAGAAATGGTGGAGAAGCTCAATGACAGTGTGAGAAAAACATGGTGCACTGTCAATTTCTGCTTTCTGGAAAAATAACACCCAGCACTTCACTGCTTTTATTCTAGGAGAAAATCCACTTTGCCTGCAAAGAACATGCATTTACTATCAAATTCTGGCGACATCAAGGTAAAAGACTAGGCTCCAGAAAACATAAACAAGGAATTGCACGTCAAGTGATATTAATACACGAAGGATACTGCTTGCTACAGATGCTTACCATCTGAAATCACCAAAAGAATTTCAGTAACCTAGAAAAGATTTTGGGATAAGAGAATGAAGATTTCATTCACTTGCCCAAAACACCTTCAACCAAAAATGTTAAAAGTCCTCAGTGGAATGGGAAGAATCATTATGTCTGTGTCAATAAGGCACAATGCATACTGCAAAAAAAAAAAGTCTATTTTCAGCATCTCCAAGAAACCAATGATATGGCTAAAAATGAAATGGCTTTCAAGAAAATCACAGATGTCCTTGCTATCACAAGTGCTGAAAACACTGGTAAGCCTCAATTTGATTTTCCCCAAAGAGAGCATACCTGGAAAACTGAATTACAAAGGTTGGGATATACATATTTTTACAGTTCCTGTGGCTAGAATCACAATATTTTATGAGGTAAGTGAAGAGCATTTTATCAGGTAAGTGAACAGCATCTTGTAATTTCTTCCCGTAACTGAGGGAAGGGACATAATGGCATGCAAATAAATATGGCTTGATGGAACCAGGTGAAAACCTATCCTTTTATTCAATATAATACTGCTGGTGACGAAAAGGAGAAATGACTCCAGTAACTGAGAAACCATAGAAAATAAAACCAAGTAATGATATGAGTTTTCCATTTTCAAAGGAAATAGAAATTGAACGAGGGTTTGATTTGGATGATGATTAACCATTTAGGTGTTTTTTAAACTCATTTTGAACAAATCAGAGTTGCATTCAGCAATGCCAAATTCTGACCTTAGCGAGCTTTCTGCTAAGAAAAAACAAGTAAAATAGGATGGTGTCTCTTGTTAAGCGTCACAATCTGCTAAATGAACTGGATCATGTTGATCTTGAGCACATCATCAGCACCATCCAAAGGTTACAGGATTTGGCTCAGATTATAGTGTACTGCAGATTACAGATGGAAAAGAATAGATGGAAAAGGTTCTGGGCATCTATTCCACGCATTCTTTCGACACAGAAGGGACCTCAGACAATTCATATCAGACTTTAGGAAATGTCAATTTTGCTATATTCCCAGAGAGGCAAATTGCACATATTGACACTTAACAATCCCATGATTTCCTTTTTTTTTAAGCTATTGACGACACCTGCAAGAGTGCACACGATGCTGGTGAAAAGGCAAAGCAAAATGTAACAAGTCAGATGACAGCATGGAGTAAAAGCTTTGGCGAGAGTGAAGAAAAGAAGAACGCTTCAGCCTAAATGAGCTGGTCTTCCCTTCGATTTGCCTTGCGCGTTCGAAATGATAAAACTATCTTTTTATGCATTGGAAATTGTTTTCAGATGGTTAACCTATGAGATGTACTTTACACCTTCATTAAAAGTTAAATAATATATTCCATTTATTTTGTTGCAGTATCAAACATTAAAAAACCCAAGTTTCAGAGTAAATGGTGACAGCACATTTCCAATGATTGCTCTCCACAATTGTATCAGGAAACTGAGATGAGGCTGGCTTCTCAAGGCTTCCAGTGGGAAGTGTGTAAACAGAGAAAATCTCAGTTGTGCATTTAAAGCTTGCACATATATGTACGATGTAGGGTGGCCACACTCTATCTGCATTTAACATACACACATATATACACATATGCTGCGCATCATTTACAGTATTTTTACACACGAATGGAGATTCTTTAGCTGGCGGTTGAAACGTTTGTATGAAAAACTCAGATGAAGTTCTTTTCAGGAAAGACACTTTGATGGAAGTTTTGTACTGTGTTTAGCTACATTACAATACCTCATACATTAAAAGCTACCTAAACTGCAGAACTGAACAGGCAACAGTTGAGGCTTGTTGATGAAAAAGGAGTAAAAACTGAATTTTAAGCAGAAAGAACCCCAAGAGCTAATGAAAAAAGGAAGATTTTGGAAGGCTAAGGGAGTGTTTGCAGCAAGAACTTGCATTTGTTGGAAGTCCATCAGGGAATGAATATCAAGAGGTTGACACCTTCAGGTCCCCCCACTTCAGAATGCAAGAACTTCTGAATGGAAGTCATCAATTCTTACTATCTCCAAACTTTTAGGGCTAACCAAAAGAATACCATTGTCACATATGCCTTCCCACATCTCTGAATGGCCGTCATTGTGAGAATTGGCAAGAATTTAGAAAGGCTTTAAAAATTCAGAAAGGCTTTAAAAATTAGGAAAAAAATTAGAAAAGCATTTAGAAAGGCTTTAAAAATTCA